TTCTACATTTAGCCCTCCTTTGGGCAAGCAGGGCTAAATGTACAGCGGGGAAGCTGCCGCTTGTTTTGTACAAGTGATCCCGGCAATGTCGCCGAGAGCACTAGTTTGCAGCTTGCATACAGGGTGGCGCATTGAGGGACCTGGTCTTGGGGCAGCAGAGAGAGAAAATGCGGCCCTGATGAGACCTCAATAAAATCCCAGGTGCTCCCCAATAACAGCTGCATGACCTGCTACGGCTATAGTTACCCCACTGCATACAATGGAAACAATTGTTCCTCTGATAACGCGAGATGGAAATTCTGTGGACTTTGACAAGATTTCCTCTTCATTCTAGGACAGGAAGTGACAGAGAGATGAGCTCATGACTTTACTGCTTGTCCTTTTAATATCCAGTCACAGGCTGGGGGTAAGTCGCAGAATGACCCGGGCTCAGGGGAAGTGGGTTGAATGATGCCGGCCATCATACTGAGGACATCTAGTGGCAGAAATGAAACTACGGCAGGGAAAACAAAAACTTGCTGTTGGTGAAGATTGCAGCAAAATCTTGCATTGGCTTTGTATCTTTATGAATGGGCTATTTATTAATATTGAGCCTGGGCTTAGTACAAACCGCGCCGGATATTGCCCAAGTCTACTCAACGCTGTAGCAAAAAAAAGCGCAAAAACGCTGTGGCCTAGGTGTGAGTCGGGCCTAATAAATATTTTAGATTGCCTGCCAATGGAATGCCGTCATCCAAGTACTCTACTACTCTTTTCTCTCACATTGTCTAATATTAGGGCTGTGATGTGTCTCTGGCGCCCTCTGCTGGTACATTGGGGAAAAACAAAAACTACAAAACCAATTACCGCCTCTTATGTAAAAGTACCTCACAAAGCAGAAATAACATCTGACAAAAAATAAAAACAATAGCAAATAAATCACAATTATTATTATTATGTTATTATTATTATTATGTTATTATTATTATTACTATTATGTTATTATTATGTTATTATTATTGTTATCAATACTATTATTCAGGTGTAACACCTCTCCTGGGATTCAGCATCAGATCTCCTATCTGGTGCACAGCTGGGTCTCTCTTGGAGCGCTGGTGCTGCAGCCAATCAGGAGACAGTTCTGATTGGTACCCCCTTTAATTGCGACGTGACATATGGCTACACTTTAGCTGAAACCCCACCCCCGCTGTACCCAGTGACTCCAATGCACCAGTGTTTCCAGTGACTCCAGTTCACCCAGTAACTCTAGTTCACCTACTGACTCCAGTGCACCCTGTGTACCCAGTAACTCCAGTGCACCCAGTGACTCCGGTACATCCAGGTTTCTCCAGTGCCTCCAGAGTCAGTGCACCCAGTGCCTCCAGTGCACCCAATACAAGCCTCCTGATAAGCTCCTGTGGCCCCTCTGTCTGTGGATATGGACCCTCTGCCCTGACACCAGGTGGGGAAAACATGGTGACTCTAACTGCCAGGTGACACATGATGAAATGTAAATCTCTGCTTCCAGTGGGGTCACTGACAGAGCGGGTGTAATGCAGGAAAATAACATGCACATTGTAATAAATGTATCAGAAATGTTTCTGGGAATGGTGTTCGGTTAGACCAGCAAAGGATTAGAGAACATCCGTCATTATGTACTGTCCTTGGTGTCCCTGTCGGGAAGATTTCAGATCATTTCCTGTTCTGATGACCGAACAGGAAGTGAAGATTTCCCCAAAGACAATAGAACATAAAAAAAACCTGAGAGAGTTTATAAATCTTCCCGCTCTGCCCAAAACGTAAGAAAAAAAAAAGGTTTAAGGAAGACTTTTACATGAAACTGCAACATGTTGCCGCAAAAGCAAAGCAATCCTCCGATAACATGATGTGTATATGCCAAACATTCTTACCTGCTTCTGTCCCACAGGTATTGCTGCATGCCCTGCCAGACCCCCCCCCAATACACACACACTGGATGCTACGCAGGTAGGTTTACCGGACTCACCTGATCATTGTCTTGGCAGTGTAATCAGAAAAGCTGCCGCACAACATCCGCTGTGCGAGACTGAGCGGATCCAAACATGGAACTCCTGCTGCTGGGGATGTCTGTAATTAAAACTCAGTCTCTGTGCGGACATCTGAGGGCAAAAGCAAAAGAGACATCATACAAAGTACTGTTGCCATGGTTGCAGGGAACAGAATTGTATTTTATTTTTCCTTTGCAGTTCTTGAAAAATGTTTTTTTTAATTTAATTCAACATCAAAGGATTTCTCCCTCCCCTCTCTCTCACCCTCCCCTCCCCTCTCTCTCACCCTCCCTTATTCTCTCTCTCCCCCCTGCCGCCCCCCTCTCTCTCTCTCTC